ATCACTGTTTCAATAATGAAACAAACGAACTAACTTGGTCACACGCTGGTCTAAATCCATAAACATCATTTTTATTTGTCTTTAACCATTCCTCCCTTTAATATATTGTTAATTATTAAATGATTATTATAGTTGATTTGCCTATGTTATAAACAGAGAATTCTGTAATCTTGGCCATAGGAGTATCTAAATTAACATTAAGTTGTTTCAGAAAAATTATGAAAGTTAGCAAGTCATTCGGAGGCAACGTGATTCGTACTTTTAAAAGCATCTTTGCAGTGAATCTCAGTGATAGTTTCAAAACAATTCACTTTGAAATGGTAAAAGACTATGTCTTTTAAACTTTAAAGAGTAACTGAAAACAATTTACTCATTTTTATGTATACTTCTTGTTTTAAACCAAAAATACTTAACTTGAAAAAGAATCACTTCTGAGACTGTATTTAATAGTCTTGAATAACGACTGAAATGTTTTAGGATACTAGCAAAGTTGAATTTCTGGATTGGAAAGCGTATTTGTTTCCCATAGCTACGTTAACATATTGCCACAAACTTGGTTGTGTAAAACAACAGAAATTTATTCTTTCACAGTTCTAGAGGACGGAAGTCCTAAATCAGTATCATTGGACTGAAATCAAGGTGTCACAGAGCTGGGTTTCCTCCAGCAGCTCTAAGGGAGAATCCATTTCAGGTTCTCACGGCTGTCAGCATTCCTTGACTTGTTTGTTGCCACATCACATCAATCTCTGCCCCCATGATCACATTGCCTCCTCCTCCTCTGCGTATATGAAATCTCCCTCTGTCTCTCTCATATAAGAACACATGTGAATAAATTTAGGACACACCCAGATCATCCAGGATAATGTCTTCTTGTCAAGATCCTTAATTCAATCCCATCTGCAAAAATCTTTTTTTTTTTTTTTCCTTATAAATACCCACAGGTTCTGGGCATTGGAACCTGCTATCTTTGAGTGAACATTATTCAGCATACTACAGGGAGTGCCATGTTTTGGTTATTCTCAACTTTGTTTAGTGTAAACATTCAATAAACAGTCACATGCATTCGTATAGTGTTCTTAATTGTTACTGTATTTTATAGTAATTTAGTTTTCTTTTCTTTCCATCTTCATAGGTCTTTTTTTAATTTATTGAGATGACATTGGTTAAAATTATATAGGTTTCAAGTGCACAATTCAATAATACGTCATATGTATATTGCATTGTGTGTCTCAGTCTTATAGGTCTTTTTCAATTGACAGATGCTTTAACAACAAAATATAGATGTAACCAATAACCACAAATTCAACATATACAACAGCTAAATGAAAATAAATTCTATTCCTAAAGATTACAAATCAGTTTTTCTATTAATATCCATGTGCACATGAACAATGAGAAAGAGAAGAAAAGATAGCCAATAGTCTTAGAAAATATTCAGCCTTACTACTAATGAAAGGAATGCAAATAAAACTGGTAGGATCTTATTTTTTTTCTTTTTAATACTGAATAAAGCAATAAATATACATCCAACTTTAACAAATCTTAACGTGTTGTAATATTAGCTTTAAATATTTTTGTGAAAACATATCGCGGAAGTAATGGAAGCCCCTGAATGCCACCTCACTTATTTCATTCCTCTCTACTCCTTTCCTGTAAGTCACGACTGTTCTGATGTTTTTTCATATTCGTACTATAGATATGTGTGTCCTTTATAGATTTACTACTTATATATATAGTCATAAGCAATCAGTGTTGTTTGCATGTTTTAAAACTTTTTCATTCAAATTATTGGTTTGAATTATTATTCGCATTATTTTAACATGTAAATCTAATTCATTCATTTAAACTGCTAAAATTAAGTAAGTTCCCTTGTACAGATATACCTATGCTTACTTATCCATTTTCCTTTTGATGGAAATATTTACCATGCTTTATTATTATACAAAATCTTCAAAGGAGATAACATTTTTCATGTCTCAAAATGACTAAGAGATTAAAATTAAACTACTCCATGCCGATGAAACTTCTAGTAGAAATATAATTTGATATCGTCTTCCTGGAAAATAATTTGCTAATATATACCAAGAGCCTTAAAAATATATATGTATATTCATTAATCCTATAACCTTACTTTGAAAAAATGTACTGTATCAGTGATTCTCAACATGTGGTCCTCAGATCAGAAGCATCAGCATATGAAAATTCTTAAATCTACTCAGGCAGAAGCTTTGGGGATGGGAATAAGCAATCTGTGGTTTGCCAAGCCTAACAGGTGATTCTAAAGCATGCTAAAGTTTTAAAAATGACTGCTCTAGGTAACTGATTAAAAAGTCTCAAGGATAGTCACTGCAGAATCAACTATATAAAAAAGGTAGAATTCACCCTCAATGTCCTACAAAGAAAATGTTGATATAAATAATGAAACAACTATAAGATGAAAATTTTAATTACATGGGAAAATGGCTTTGATATTATGCTATAAGAAAATGACATGACCTAAAGTCATATGTATAGCAAAAACATAATTTTTAAGAAGACATATATAGATTTCATCCTATTCAAAAGTATTAAATGAAATAAGAATATTGACATATATGTACACATATAGTTTGAATTAAGATATTTACATTTAGTTAATATATCACTCACTAATGCTATCATTTGTGACCTTACTAGTTATATTTGTTGACTATGGAAAAATGATAAATAATGCTTATGTTTTTATGAACACAATTGCTACTGAATTTTTTAACTCCAAATACCACAATGTTTTGATGAATAAATAGGTTCCCAACAAGGTAAATTGAGTTTTAAAAAGATGTTATCTGATGCAATAATTTGTTTAACATTCATAGACATTATTTAGATATAACCTTTAACTATAACATGTATTCACACATATTCTAAAAGTCTACTAATAGAAAAATAGGGAAAGTTAAAACTGGATGGTGTGATGACCAGCGAAATACAGACATAAATTCTATGTCAAAAGAACTTGCAAATTGCAAATAATGAGCTTTAAATTCTTTGGCAGTTGAATTTCCATGTAAAGTTCGTAGTATAATCTATGGCTATCAAATTGATCATTATAACCTCAAGACTCATTTACATAATTCAATGTTATTTATCCTATTATATATAATCCCACTTATTTTTAAAAAATAACTGATATTATTTTGTTCATACCTAATATATATGCCATGATCAAAAATTAATTCCAAATTTCCTGAACTGGAGAATAGATTTTGTCTGAGCTCTGTACCACTGACATTCAATTTTTACTTGCAATTCTCAATATGTTCCTATTACAATCAGAGAACAATAGGGAGTATGCCTGCAGCTAGTTTAATATCTTTAAATTCTTATGGATCACAATAAAATACCATGTAGCCCAGCATGCTTCATATTTCAAAGGTTGTGGGCTGTTAATATTGTACTTTTATTAAAATTCCTATTAATTTTTTGCTGTCAATCTGAATGTAAAATTACTTTATCACTCTTCTATGAAATAAAAAAGTGAAGAAAATATGAACTTATTGCCAACTAATTATCTATTCAAAAAGAGAAAAAGAAATTTAGAAAAAGTCAACTATATCATTGCCTAAGAAGAGCCGACTTATAAATATTTTAATATTGAAATTATACATCTATTCATGCAGTGATTTATTCAACAGGTATTTGGTATGGAGCTTCTCCTATGTGCCAAAAAATTGTGCCAAGCATTTGGCATAGAGCAGTGTGTAACGATTAAGTCCATGCCCTCACAAAGCATTCATTCTAGTGGTAGTGAAAGACAATAAACATAATAATTCAAGTATTCATAATGTGATAAAGGAAGAATTTTAAACTAACATCTGAAAAATGAATCAGAATTAAATTATGAAAACTGTTCTAAGAATAGAGCAAAGCCTATAAAAAGGCCCTAAGGTGAGAAATTGCTGGTGAGAAGTGCTCCAAGGAGACAGGAGGTTAGAGGCACCAGGGAACTGTGAGCAAAAGAGAACCAAGTATAAGTTGAGGCTGGAGTAAAGGCAGAGCCAGATCATCAGGCCTCTGTGAATCATCACAGGATACTGAGTTTATCCTAGAAGCACTGGAAAGCCACTGATGTGTCAAAAGGCTATCCCTGACTTCTAAGGGAAAGAAGACCATGAGGGCACAAAAATGTTGCTTGCAGTGAACCAGGCTAGAGATGGTGGGAACTTTGGTCTGAAGTGATATTGTTTCAGATGGAGACACACTGACAGATTCACAGTCTAGAAACAGTCCTTGGTTATAAATTGGATGAGGGTACAGGTGGCCGTGGGTGTGAAAAGTGCAAAGCTGACGCTTAGTTGACACATCTGGAAGGACTGGCATTGCCATTTACTAAGGTGGAAGCACTGGAGGGGCACAGACTTATGGTAGATGGTTTGGGTCACGTTAATTTTGAGAAGCCTGTAAGCCATTCAAGTGAAAACACTGAAATGGATATAAATTAATCTGGTGCTCAAAGGGGAGGTCTGGGCTAAAAACATCTACATGTATTTTTTATTAAATTTATTGGGGTGACTGGTTAATAAAATTATATAGGTTTCAAGTGTACAATCCAATAATACATCATCTGTATATTTTATTGTGTGTTCACTAATCCACTGTATCATTTTAATCTTACCTTTCACTTTTGATTAAATGTAATGCATGACCATTGGGGGTAAATGCATTAAAAAGTGCCAGAGAGGATTAAATTAACACATCACTTGTAGCCAAGAAGTGGGAAATAATATAATAAAATTTTTTGCAAACAATTATAAAGAAAGTTTGGAATTTTGCTTTCAATCTTAAATGTTTTAAAGCCACAAGTAGGAATACAGGTATCAATTTCAACATTAGGAATGAAAGCTTCAGTTTACAGGAGGATGTGGCTTCTAAGGAATTAGAGAAAAAAATTTTATCACATTATATTTCCTACCTTTCTTCCCTTAGCTCACAATAAAGGCCTTATCAAGAATGTCAGGGTTGTGCTTGCTTTGGCAGAACATATACTAAAAATGGAACACTACAGAGATTAGCATGGCCCCTGTATAAGGATGACATGCAAATTTGCAAAATGTTCCATATTTTTAAGTTGTGAAAAGGGTAGATCCTGAGAGTTCTCATTACAAAGAGATTTTTTTTTCCTTTTCTTTCTATTGTATCTATATTTATTGTGGTAATCATTTCACAATATATGTAAATCAAACTAAATCAAACTATCATGCTGTATACTTAAACATATACAGTGATGTATGTCAATTATTTTTCAATAAAACTGGAGAAAAAAAGAATGTCAGGGTATCTAAACTTTCCCAATGAGATATGAGCGTCTTTCAGCTCCATAGACCTTGGTCATTTGTGTCTCCATCCACACACCTGTCTCTATCCCTGATCTCAGTTCACTTGGTCACACCATCTTTTGTAATATATATGAGCACTTTTACCCTAAAATCAAGAGCAAAAGAAAGTCATTTTTCTAAGACCAAATTTCTGAAAGCAGCATCCAGTCTTGTTGCCCAGGAAATAAAGAAGTGTCTGATGAAAAAAAAAAAAATCCTTCAGAGGAGGATGCAACCACTCTTTAATGCTTTTCTCTAAAATCTTCAATAACAACAACAGAAAGACATGTGAGCAATCTGTTTCCTTTGAGAGTCCACTCACTGCTGAGCTTGGAGGGGTGCTTGCAGCACTTAGTAACAGATATCACCTAGACATTTTTAACTCCCTCTGCCACCCCCAATCCCACCTGCAAACTGGAAATTGAAGAAAGAGGCATCTCAAAAACATGAAATCCTCTTTTGCCTGGTGGGATATCTTTATTCCTGAGTAATTTCTCCAAATAACACCCTTGAGTCTCTGAAAATGTAAAAATTGCCTGTAGAGTCAAGGCAAATGAGGGCTAAATCCATTCATTATTTACCTCTAGACTCTCATTCACCTCAAGCTGTAGGAAGCATCACAAACACAGGATTGATGAAAAGTATATAAACATATTATTTAGATACTCAAGTTGTCACAGGGAGCGTTTTTTGTTCTTGATTTTAATGTAAGCAGAGCTGAGTAGTGGAAATATTTAGGTAAAAATAAAGATTTTTCTTTCTGGAAGATAATATTTCTCATTCTAAATGATTTTATTCTTTTCCTTTGAATTCCATGGCAACTTCTGATTATCTGTTCATATTTGATTCATTCTTAGATCCTTTCCTATATCTCTATTACCCATCAAGGAGTAAGCATAATTAATAAGGAATCTATGACCCTGATCTCTGATATGGATTGTTTGAATCTCTCAGCATAGTTTAGATTGTAGTTTGGTAGCAAAGTCCAAACTTTCAATGGCTAAATAAACTGAACAGTGTGCTCAACACTCAAGGACCTTGGTGGATACATCAGCCATCATCTCAAATGTGGCCAGTCACCATGCCCAAGGGCAAGTGCTGAAGGGTCTCACAAGGACAATTCAATGCTCTTGCCTAGAAGTGGCATTCTCCAGTTACTTCTGGCTAGAGCTAAACATATGGTCCCACCAAAAAGAGGGTCAGAAAGTACCATTCTAACATGTTTCTGATGACAGAGCTAGAAATAGTTGAGGAATAGCAATAAGGACCACCCCAATCCTCTAAAAAAACTATGCTTTTTTTCAAAAATGTTATAGGTAAAATAGAGAAATCTAACTGGATAGCAAAGTAAGAACATGCATTTTTCATTATTAATGAGTCTGCTTATAAAAGGTAATGTTCCACCAGCTGCATGCATCGTTTCTTTGTAAATAACAACAACATGGGATCTATTACTTTCTTATCTCCAAATGTATATACTTTATGACTTCTGTGACTTATACCTCACCTTTTTCCAAAAAAGATTTTGAAGTAGCTTACAAATAAAACAAAACAGAATAAGGAGAAAGGGAAAAATTCAATGAGTTTACTGATTAACTGATGATTTATAATGATTTAGCTGTATTTGTCAGTATCCCACATCTTTAAGGTCATCCAGGTTATGAATAAAGCAAATAAGATTTCTCTCCCAAATGTAACATTTGTATAAACCACAGCTCACAAACAAATATAAAGTCCTGATGTAGCCTTCAACTGTTTACTTCACACAGTGATGTTTTTTAACTTGAATCTGAATGTCTTTAGGTCTAGAATTCAGTCTCCAGTTCAGCCATAACTTCTAACCACTTCCTACCATGATCCAATTTATGTCCTTCATATACCCCTGTAAGAATTCGAGATCCTTGGTATAAAATACAGTGTCTCCATAAAATAAAATGTTTTATAAATTCAGTGTCTGGTCTCTCTGTACCAGCTGCTTTGAGGAAATAAAAAACAGACAATATCTATCAATAACTATACTGATGTTTCTCAAACAGCAAAGTCTGTTGGGAAAGATAATACAAAACATTTGAGAACATATAGTACTAAAATAGCAATAATTGTTCTATATATTTTACAGCTCTTTATACTTTAGCAAGCTATTTCACATTTACCACTACTGTGGGTTCCTTCAGGAATCCCATAAAACAGTCAAAAATAAGGATTATAGTTCCCATTTTTCAGATAAAAACACTGAGACCTAATAAGGCAAGTTGGTAAGTTCTCTTACCTCAGTTCACGAGACTAATCGCAGATGTAGCTCCACGTAGGGCTCTCAGCACCACATACAGTAGGCATTTCATAAAAATTCTGTGAATTAACAACAACAACAAAAAAGAATCTCTGGTCAACATAAATACTGATTCACAAACATGAACAGAAGAAAGAGAAGAAGAGTGATCAGAATTCACAAGTCACACTGTATCATAACTGATATTTGGGAATATGAGGAAACTAGATGCTATTTATGACCCCAAGACACTTGTGAAATGTAGGACAGATGAAAAACGTAAATTTATATGTAAATATAATAATACCAAATTTCATGAAAAGGATCAGTGATTTTACTTTTACTGTTTAAAAATAAACAACAAAAATCAATTGACTTATTTAGTAGAAAGTGGGCTTTAAATATAAAGTTATAATATTTACAGTATTTACAATATTTATTGTAATATTATCTATAATGGCAAAATATTGGAAATTGCCCTAATACCTATCAATAGAAGCTAGTTGAACAAACTCTAGTACATCATCACAATGGAATATTACGCAGCTTCATAGGAACAATAAAGAGAACCATAATAAAGAGAACTAATACTGATGATCCTTAGGATGTTTTGTAAAATGAAAAAAATCAAGATATAGAAATATACATGTAAATAGACACACATAAACATATATACACATATAGATTTGTATTAAATATACATATATTAAAACATACGTAAAATGTGTATGTATAATTATAATATATGCACGTGTATGTGTGTGTGTGTGTGTGTGTATATATATTGTATATGTATATTGATGGTATCCCATCAATATATATATATACACATACACACACACATACACATTTATTGATGGGATCAATAAAAAGATATATATGCACACGTTTAATTACATTTGCAAAAAAATAAAGAAGAAACACTGTCAAGATAAACCAAAACCTAATAAAAATTATAACTTTTAGAGTGCAAGCTGTAACGGGTTTTGACAAAATGTGAGTCTTTTATGAATATATTTTGTTACAGAGTTTTGACTTTGGAATGAAAAAAATGATTTATATATTCAAAAAAATTAATTAAAAAGCAATCTTCAAAAATCAAAAACAATTTGATATGAATGAACCTAATTGTATATCTAATTTGTGCCATATGCACAAAGAGAAAAAGACTCATTTCAAGTAATCTTAGAACAAAGAACAAGGCTTTGACTGAACACCCTTTGTAGTTTATTTTCCAAGAGCAAATAGAGCAACATGGTATATTGTCATCACAGTCACAGAAAATCCATTTCTTTTAGGAAAGTGATTTAGTCTTGGCAACGATGGAACAGGTAGAGAAGGAAGTAGCTGAGCTTAGGGAATAAGGACACTTGGTAGCATTATGTTTCCCAGTGGAAAAGCTTGAGATAATGAAAACTCCATGACCGATTAAATTTAGGCATTTCTCTCAACAAGGCTGTGTAAGAATCACTATATGCATCTATCAGTGAGGTAACTAGCACTCATTTCTTTGATCCATTTGGAATACCACTTACAATGAGACTATTTTATAAATAGATTAAGGAGGTTACAGAAACTGGATTTAAGTCACAATTTTCATAAGCCTGGGAGTGACTGGAATATTATCTGTTAGATATTATTAACCCCTTCATCTTTACTGAACAGGAGGAAATGAATTACAGGGCAAGCTGAAAGGAAATTAGATCAGACTAAAGAACGTCTCTGAAACATAAGGACTAAACACTGGAATAGGGAGATTAGAGAACTTCTTTCCAAAACAATAGACTCTCTATTCATTTACTTGGATTTGAAGCCACAGTGAAACCCATCAATATATGCTGGAATATAAAATTTCTTACAATAAAATTTCCACAGTGGGGTTGGGAGAGATGTTAGCATTTACAAAATATAAACTAATATAGTGTTCTGAGCCAAAAGTACTCTGTAATTCTCAAGTTACTTTACTCAAATTTTGTGACAGTTTTATCTCATTTAAAAAAATAAAAAACTTGGTCTTAGCAAAATATATCACTAACTTGTGAATAGGATTTAATATACTATTGGAAAATTACAGAATTTAAAAAAGGTGAAATGTTTGATTGTCTTAAAATTGAAAATAAACACTATAGACTAGTAAAACCTGAATATATTTTAATTAGCAGTTTAAAATTTGCTTAAATACATTATCTCACATTTTAAGGAAACGAGAATACACAATGGACGGATAATATGTAATAATGAATGGGTATTCCATGAGAGAATTAGACAGTCTAGCGTAATTTTCTCTTGCCTCCTCTAGTGGTTTTTTTGTGTGTGAAATATTCAAGACTGGGGAAACAGGGAGAACTGATAAAATTTAACTATTTAAGGAAAAATAATGAAGATAAGATTCAAAGGAATTCCTTTATTTACAAAGATAACCAGGAATACGTGTTCAACATATTGATGTAAGAGGTAAAGCAAAGGAAAAAGAGTCATGTC